TTAAAGATAAATAAAGTACTTATTTAATAACTATCAATACTTATCATTATTTCATTTACCACAAGCCGAAGCTTGAAACGAATGCATTGGATACGAAAGAGGCCGAACCTAAAACTAAATCGAACTATAAATATATTTTTTAAGATTAACGCAAAAGAGTTTTTCCTATAGATCTAATCGGAATTTCCTTTCATTTCTTGTGTTCATCCCTAATAAGTAGCTGATAATAGAATTAGCACAAATCACAGATATCTAATTTCAATCAAACTGACTATATCTATTATATAACATATTTTATATCGTAATCTTTGGTAACTCAGCCTTCATCTTATGTTTTATTGCAATTCGGCTGACTATTTCATTTGTATGACAATGAAAAGTAACTCTTGACAATGATAAGCTATCTAACTGAAATGAAATAAAGATATCTATATATGACTTTGCGAATTAGTTGGCATAAGAACAGACAGCCTGACAGTTGAACGCATTTATTGACAAACGGATGTACTGACAGGCTATGGCTACATCGCACCAGCTAATTGATATGATTAAGAAAAGATATACTTATATCTTTAAAAAAGAGTTCAAGTACGTTGAATCAGCCTTGAGCACAGGCAGATAAGATTAAAGAGGCGCCTATTCAAAAACAGTTAACCTAATTTAATGATATCTTATTATCAGAAAACGTAATTTCCCCAGTTCTTTCAATTCGCAAATATTCGAAAAGAAACGGAAATATAAAGCTCAGCTACATATAACAATTGGCCGTTGTCATTGTCTTCGATTTTTTTAAATTTGAAATAATTTTAAAACAATTCGAAGAATATTTTTATATGATGTATAACAATGGACGTTCTTCTTCGCTTTATATGATCTAAGGTTCCAGATTCAATATGCTTCCACTAAGTCTCTTTTCTTTAAAAAATAAATAATTAAAATACAAATTTGTACCACCATAAATGGCTCAGAAAAAAATATGAAAGAACGGCTCTTTAAAAGTGAAAGACAAACAATTTACTTTCGTCTAGCCATGTCATATTCAAATACATATACTACCCACACAGCGTCTATAATTATCATCATTTCTATAGAAAACTATTTTATCTACCACATTCCAGCGTATCATATGTAAGCATTTTAGCTATATCTGTTTAATCTTAATGTTAAAAGCCATTCATAAAAAGCTAGTTTGGTTGAGTGTGTGTGTGTGTGTTTGTGTGTGTCGATCGTACATAGAACGCGACATGCATATTTATGGCCTCAATAATATGTGGAACGTTGTTTGGGTTTAGGAGCTGGGCGGGGCGCAAGAAGGGATTTTGCAATTACAAGTGGCAATTTAAATAGCATTTTATTTTGTTGATTTTATTTATAATCTGCCGCACAATTTTTATGATTATATTCGAGCAGCATATTGCATGCAAACAGATGCACAAGCACACAGATACACACACACACACACACACACACACACACACACACACACAGAGAGTCGGGCAGAAGCTGCGACAGTTTTGAAGCTAAATCAGAATTTATGCTTTGTTTAAATGCTGTAAAAATGTCGCTGATTTCTATCGCATGGCAATGATTATAACAATTACAACAACAACAACATCAACTGCCACTATAATAATAACTGTCTATATGTCGCGTAGCACACATTTATACTATATATATCTATCCATACACAGCAGCACACACACACACACACACACACACACACTCATAGATACATTTAAATAGCGAGCGCGTATTTAAACCAATTTTATGGCGCATTTAATTGTTGCTGCTTATGAGCTACTACAACAGCAACAACAACAACAATAACGACGACAACAATAACAAATTAAAAATGGTAACAAAAGGTTAACATAAATTGCTAAAACTAAATTATACATATAAACAAAACATTTTTATGCGATTAAAATCAAAATTACACGCAACGTGCGTCGGCTTCAATTCAATGCAGGAATACTTAGATCTAAGTGCGGGCTCTCTTGTATGGGGGGGTGGTGTGTATGGGAAGGCTTATAGTAGGGGGTAACTCCATACGCTGCGCTGCACATGGTTTACTCTATTGGGGGGCTGGCCTTGTCTCTGCTTTGCTCCGCTCTGACGACGACGCAGAGTTTTGGACATGGACAACGACACGAACACAGCCGGAAAAGCTGCGCACGTGCTGGAAAAATATGCATTAGAAGTACTTTTCCACCATGGTTGTGTGCGTGTGTGCGTGTGTGTCTCTGTGGGTGCCAGACCTGTACAGTTCAAGCTATTTATATGCTTGATGATTTCTGCGTAGACTGCGAGCATATCAAAAGAAAGTCGGAGAAAATGTGAGGAAAAAAGTAACATGCTAAAGAACCGTTAAGTTGAATAATAGAGGTTCAAGTTGAGATCGGTTCAAATCCAGTTACTAAGCTTCATATTAAACTAAGCGAATGCTAGGCTATCTAAAATCAGCTAAATGCAAACAAGTTTCTCAAACAATAAAAAACAATTAAGTTTCAACAATTTTAAACAAGCTAAAATATGATTATATTGGGCTCTATAGCAATTCCAGTTTATCAAACATTTGATAATACATTCAATAAGCTCTTTAATACGTTTAATGGAAATTAACATACCTTTCATCCCACACTGCAAAGCAACTGAAAGTAAAATGCATTCACAACAGACTTAAGTTAAATATACAAGTCAACTTTAATCAAAGCCACAATTTTATACCTTCAACTCATTCGAAAAGGAATCAAAATTTTGTGTACGTAATTTAAGTTTTTTTTTTTTTTTTTTTTTCTCTGGCACTTCCGTTTTGTGAAATTTCAGTTAATAATCCCTGCGTCAGACACTTACTTCACTTATATGATATCGATACCAACCTTAAAAAGATTTCGTATAGTTTCGTTCCTTTCAGCATTTAATATAGAGGCCAAGTATCTAATCTTATCAAATTGCCAAATATATTGATTATCCACAGCTATTGCTAATTGTTGTTGTCTGAGAAGTCAACCTAAATATAGACCTCATATGGTTTATCTTTAAGTGTTTATTTGTATTGGTTAGTTCCGTTTGTTCGCCCATTTGCATTAATAATGTCTTTCTTCGGTTATGCCCTCTACAAATGACCCAGCCTAGCTTTGCTTTGACAGGTTCCCATGCTCAGCTTGTATTACATATATATATACATATTTTGTTGTTGTCCGATCTCTACTGTCCGATCAAGTTTAACCAAAAAGTAAATATGCGCATGTATCTCGTAGTTTCAGCGGCATATTGCAATCTCTCTAACTGCTGCTTTGAGGCAGCCGTGGCACAAATTTAGCTGTTTAAAGGCATAAAGCTAAAGCGAGCTACTCAGATTTCTATCTCAGCTGCATGAACTTATGAAATGAGAATGCAATGTTTCAAAATATGTTTGGCGGGGCCCTGCCCTGGGAAAGTTGGTCCAGCTGCGGCAGAGCATCCTGCCCAGTCACTTGCAAAAGACTTTGCGCTACTTTTGCGCTCAATTTCAGGTGCACGCAAGCAACAACAACAACAGGAACAACAATCGCAGCATTTAACCCTTTTGCCAAAAAGTTTCGAGCGCAAAAATGAAAAACTTTTTAAAGCGAAAATCAATGCGGGAACCCCGAAAAAGGCAGCTCACGTAGCAGAGCTTCCTATATACAAGCGCATATATTTCTTCCTCTGTTTGTCTCTGTGTATGTGTGTGTGTGTGTGTGTTTGCTGTTTATGCGCAGCAGCTGTACAGAGGCAACACAAACTACACAAAGACTCAGACTCGAAAAGTTGAAGACGGCAGCCAACTTGCCAAGTTGTTCAACCACAAAAAATATGAGCTCGATATTAATAATTTGTATCTAGATAGTTTGTGTGGCAGCAAAAGATGCTGCTGCCTGAGAAAAAAAAAGATGAAAAAAAAAAAATTAAACAAAAGCTATGGCTGTGGAGGCCAAATCTTATGCTTATTAGCTATTTTACATACTTAAGTGTATGTGCCTGTGTGTGTGTGTGTGTGCACAGTTATATTCATAAACATGGGCATAATTGTGTATTTAGCTTAATTTCCAGCTGCTAATTTATGCAAATTAAGTTTTATGTGCGCTAAACACCAGCACACATATACACACATCAACACACACACACGCACACACACTGAGCGGGAGACACACGCACACCTACACTCAGACAGACTGTGCGTCTCACATGCATAACTCAAAATCGGCAGACAAATCTGCACACATGTTAAAGCCCATAAATAAACCACATAATCACAAACGGAACGATCGATGATTGTTGTCACTGTTTGACAGCCAGGCAATGGCAATGGTAAAAGGCAAAGGCAAAGGCAGCAAGCAGCAAGCAGCAGGCAGCATGCAGCAGGCAGAAAGCAGTGGCCGAAACGCTGTGCCACAAAAAGAGTGAGAGGCAGTGGCAGAGAGAGAGTCGACAGACAAGCAAAGCCAAAGCCAAAGCCAAAGCCTCACCTGGCGCATGAGCGAGTCGACGTTGAAGCACCGTGCCAAGTGCAGAGCGCAGAGAGGCGTGCCACACAGAGATTATTGAACGATGCACTCGAGCATGACGAGCCGCAGCAGCAGCAGCAGCGACGGCCGCAGTAACAACAACAACATCAACGAAATGCCCTATACAAGCAAACAAACATGCAACTGCAATAACAACAGTAACAACAGCAACAACAACAACAACAACAACAGGAACCAGAGCCAAGCGAAACGAAACGCAAACCGGTTTACCTGCCCGCGTGCATAACAAACAAAAAACACGCCCCGCATGCAAGCCAAACAGTGACAAGCATATTGGTATTGACTGTAGTGCCGTCTCGCTTTGTTGCCTGGCCTGGCCGCCTGCAGCTGCGACCATCTTGTATGTGCCAAATGCCAAAGCCCGGCCCTCGTCAGACGAGTTTCACACACAAACGCGCGCACACACGCACACGCACACACACATACGCAGCGCGTGTCTCTGTCGCTGGCTTTCCTGTTTTGCGCTCGTGGTTCAGTTGGTCTGCGGCCGTTGAAGTGTTTGCTCGTGCCTCGTTCGCCCGTTCGCTCGTTTCGTTTATCGTTTTCGTGTGCTCGCACACTACGTATTACGTATACGTTGCGCGTCGCGTTTGCAACAGCAATAAACAGCAACTACGCTCTAACAACAACAACAACAACAACAACATCAACAATTCGACAGTAATAAACAGCGGCAAGCGACAACAAGACTAGCTACAAAAATCGCGTCGGCAAAATCGCGCAAAAATTGACCTAACAACAAATTAGTGCTAAATCAAACAAAACAAACCAGAAGAAAACATAAACAAAACAAATGTGTGACTAACATATGTGTGCAAAATGTAAGAAAATTATGCAAATATTATTTTTATAAAAGTATACAGTTAAATGACAAGTGCTCAATCAAAACGCCAGCAAGCTTGCAACTGATGTGATTTTAACGCAGCTGCAACACAAGTTCTTATCAGCCTCAGTGCCACAATCAGCACTATTATTATTGATGCATAACAATAAAAACTTACAAAACATTAAAAAAAAAAAAACAAAATATTTGACAGTTTGCTTATCAATTTATTGCTATCAATTCCAACATTTTAATGAAAAGTGTTTTCCCCAAAAACAACAACAACAACAAAAGCAACAACAATGTCATCGAGTGCAGCTATCTATGCCTCTGATAAATTGATTGCGTTTTGGGTGCCCAGCAATTTTACAGTGAAACCTTAAACAATCGAAATCAAAAACTGAAAACAGTGCGCAGTGTTTATAGACGAAATTTATGTTGCCTTATCATCAGTTGCCTGGTTGTTTGTAGCGCAATTGTCAATTGTGCGATAGGCATCTGAGGCCCAACAACAAGCAACAACAAGCAACAACAACAGCAAGCCACAACAACCTGGACAGGTCTTGAGACAACAACAAGTTCTGCTGTCTTTTTATTATTAATAATTTTTGGTTGAGGCCAAAACAAACAACAACAACAACTATAAAAGTCAAAACAACCACATGAAATACAAACAAAAAGTAGTCAAAATTATTGATAAAAATCTGGCAAGAACTGAACAGACATACACAGCCAGATACAGCCAGCAGATACTATAGGGCACACATATAGAATGCCAGATAAGAATTTTTCAAAAATTGTATATCTCTCTCTATATACATATATATATACATTTGTGTCCAGCTACCTGTCTAAGCAAACGCGGCAATAGATACCTAGCATATTGATATACGCTGTGGACTCAATGATGCGACTGATAGCAGCCCCCAGCTCCCAAAAACTTATCTAATTGGGCCTAGTCGAGCGTAGGATATAAACCGCATGTTAAGCGCTAATTGCCGGCCAGGTGAAGCTATTGCAGCACCTTTCCCCGCTTCAGCCAAGTGCACTCAACAGTTCAGTTGCCGTCGGTGCCGAACGCCCACACAACAAGTTGTCGCTCTCGGAATACAGTTGTGGGCTCTAGCGCCAGAGCCAGGCCAAAGGCATTCACAACTGCAGCTTGCCTGCCTGCAAGGCAGACAGTCTTAGGCTAGGTATGCAGCGCATCAATTTTGCACGCACAAAAGTTCGATTGTTCAAGGCAGTTGACTTCCTAAATGACAGCATTTGAACAACTTTGAAGAATACAACATAATTCTTAACTTGGAAACTTGAAATATGAGACAGTTCTTATCTTCTGTTGAAATGAAATTGTTGAAATAAGTATGACGAATTAGATTGATATTTCTATTATAAATCATATGTAGTAAATTTCATGATACAATTTTTTTATAGCTACTATTATTTGCAACATTTTTGATTGGTAATTTTACTGCCTGATTAAAAAAGAAATAGCTAAATATGTAAATAGCCAGGAACTAAAAAAATAGCCATCAGCTTGCCTTTATCTTGCGATACATATGTATGTCAAGTCAGATCGGACGATATCTATATAAAAGATCATAATACTAATAAAATTTGATGCAAATAAGCATTTTTTAGTTTCTTTGTTTGGTTAGATTTCCTGCCTAACAAACTAATAAATAAATAACTATTATAATCATTAACATTTAAATGCAATAGATAGCCAGTTTATATCTTTCGATGTCTTCCCCAAATATTAAAGACAAAAAAAAAGAATACTGCTTGAAAAAATGACTTAATAATAACTGATAAATGTGGGCTATTTTTCCATCTTTTGCTACATGCTTGCCTATTTTGCTTGAGCAGCATACCAGACATTGAAATTCACACAGCGTTGGGCACACAATTGACATGATTTGACATTGTTTGGGTTTATTAGATGAGTTGCACTGTAAACATCGAGAAAACAATGCAGAACAATGGTTCAAAAATTGCTTGTGCCTCCTCAGAATGCGACATGTTTATTAGATCCCCCGGGAGGACTGCTGCAAAATACTGTGCCTGCCTTCTGTTTCTTTGTTCCATCCATCAAGTGTGTACGAAATGCAATACCTCGTTTCCCACACTTTGGCTAAGCATGTGGTCATCAAATTCTAATCAGGAACTGTTGGACCTGGACTAAATATATGTATATATATGTATACTATATATGCACCCAGTTATTGTTGTGGCTACCGCGTACTTGTAAATCAACTGCCCAGAGCTGATTGCCAACTGTACTGGCTGGCTATAAAAAGAAATTAGAAACCAAATATAAAATTGATTGAGGCTGATAAGAAAAAGGTGTGAAGCTGATAAGGCACGCAAGAGCTACCGTTGAAAATCATATCACTTGCGAGTGTCGAAGACAATCGAAAATAAGTTTTCAAGAAGTTCTTATTTAACCTCATTTACAGCACACGCAGTGTTGCAAAGCGCGCGCATAAACATGTGTTGAGAAGCGTCTAAAAATAAATATAAATAACGGCAATTATTCAACACGCTCGAGCTTAAGAGCAAGAGAGTGCAAAACAGAAGCAGCAGCCGAAGCAGGAGCAGAAGCAGGAGCACAGAGATCGTAATTCTCTGTAGAATTTTGCGCGCCCCACGTACCACGTAAAAAACATTCAAAATTATACTCGAAATGGATATGACCTCAACAGCGGAGGCTGCCGCTCGCAGCTGGTACGACAGTCCGCGCTTAGGCGGCGGCGGCGGCGGTGGCGGCGGCGGTTCACCCCAAACAAATGGCCTGGGCAGCGCCGGCAGCAGCCTGGCCCATAGCCATCACAGCCTGTCCAGCGGCGCCTCATCGGCGGGCAGCAGCGTTGGTGCCGCTCTGGGCGGCGGTGCTGGCGGCGCCGGCCTCGGACTGGATACCAGCGACATGAGCGCCTTCTATGCGCTCGAAAGCAATGGACACCATCGACGCTACTATCCCAGCTATCATCAGCACAGTAAGTAATAGAGACACCCCCTCCCACTCCACCTCCAAACCAATTCTGATTCCAGGTTTATGTTTTATTTATTGTTTAAGTAATTTTAGTGGCGCACCGAGGCTACATTTGTCCTAATGTCATTTCTAATGCGTTTTTAATGAATGGGGGGTGGCTGTCATGCGTGTGTGAGTGTGTGTGTGGGTTGGCTCATCCCACAAATCGATTGCTTCGCGCCTTCTTTTTTTGTTGTATTTATTTTTTGTCGCACGTTTCCTGTTGGCTATGCGCGCGGCACAGAGGGAGGGGCAACGGCGACAGGGGCAACATCCCTTAGCTGTACTTTGGTCTAACTGAATCTGTTTGCCCAACCCCTGGCATTGGTTTTTCCCTTAACAAACTGCTTTATTTTTGGCTGCCCCCAAATGTGATTTAAGTGTGTTTGTATGTGGCAGCTTTAACGGGCCCTAGCTTTAACTGTAAACAGCTCACTTACAGCTTGACAATTGTGGTGTAACTAGCCCAGACGTGGCGGCTCTCAGACCTGGCGCACTTCAGCTTTTCCCAGCTGCAGCTCCATGTTTTCTAATTGCGCGCAATTTGTTGCCACAAAAAGAAAACCCAAAAAATGAAAAAAAAAAACCGACTATTATTGGCACGGCGAAGATTAAATACCCTTGTGGGCATACGACTTACGATCTTGCATTAATTTGAAGAGAATTGTGAAACATGAGAGAGTAGAGCTCGTAGTTGCTAAGTTTGGTCAAGAAATCTTGTGAAATAAAAACATTTTGTTATAGAACTTTATTTTCAACCGATGTTAAAAACAATTAGTTTAAATGAATGGGATCGTAGGGCAGCCAATAATCGACAAGTTTCGTTATAATAATTTAATAAAGAAACAAGAGCTTAACTTCGATAGATTATATGTATGGCAGCAATATGTTAAAGAGCTATCATCCGACAAGTTCTGACATATATGCTGCTTGCAACATAAAATTGCATAGAGATAGACAGGCGGATAGATGAACAGGGCTAAAACGCATCGACTGTTTATACTGAATAAGAATATATATAATCTATGTCTGTCTTTATGGCTTACACAGTTCAAAACAAAATGATGAAGCCCTTTTAGAGTATACGAAAAATAGAAGCAAATTATCTATGCTCATTAGTGTTATGGCAGCAGCAGCAGCAGCAACAACAACAGACAACAGACAGCAGCAGCAGCAGACGACAACAATTTCTAGATTCACACGCCTGCAACAAAAACAAATTGCTCCGAAAATGTGAGCACTTTTTTGGGGCCAAAAAGTCAGGCAAAAATTTTGGGTTCCGCTAAGTTAATTTTCAATTTGAAAAAGTGGGTGCCACCGTTGCGGCGGCTCAGACGTCGGCTGCGGCTGTTGCTGTCAGTTTTGACAGTTGACTGCCCGAAAATCCATTTTCACTTGGCACTTAGCATTGCGCTGCAGTTGCCATTGCCATTGTTATTGTTATTGTTAGTTGCTTTCATTGTCGTTGTTGTTGTTATTGTTGTAGCTGAGCGCAGCTTTTGCCTGCATTTTGACAGTTCCACGTAAAACGCGACGAGCGGGACAGAGTACGGACGTGTGACATGCATCGATGCGGCTGCCGTTGAATTTATTTCCTGCTACTCAAGTGTGCGAAAATTTTAATTTAAAATTTTTGTTGCTCTGTGCCGCGGAATGTGGAACGCGCGCACTGAAAGACAGCCCAAGCGGGTGGCTGCAAGTGATCAATCAGCTCTTTTGGCGAGCCACAGCCTCCTTAGCTCCACAGCCCGATTGCCCCCGCCGCCAACCGCCGCCCCGTTTGCATTTATGTTTAATTCATGTTATTCATATGCGGACTTTATTGATGCTTGATTTGATTTGATGGCAACGCGCAGGCACTGATCCGGCTGCTGTAATTCCATTCATGCACTCTAAAGCCCGCGCATTCAAATCGCGCGCTCTTTGTCTGCCATTTTTTGACAGACAGTTTGTCGGCTGGAGCAGCTCTTGCAGTTGCTGCTGTGGCTGTGCCTGTGCCTGCTGTTGCTGGTGGAAATCTCGTTGGAGCACCTGTGGCGAGCGTTGATTTTAAAATTCATTAGTCTGCATGTGTCACATTTCGGATGAGTACGTTCGGCAGAGTTGTCAAAAAACGGAATTCCAACAGTAACTCAATTTAGCTGGCACATATGACTCTGGTGCTTAGCTCAAGCGATTAACATTTGGAGCAGCCCAAATAACAGCGCGTAAAGCGGGCTTAAGTGTGTGTGCGGACGCGTGTGTGTGTGTGTGTATGTGTGTAGGGGGCAGCCACTTACGCACACATATACAAACGTTGAGACGCCTGCCGTGTGTTTGAAAATGCAGCTTAATGGATTTTGACGCGCTCACTTAAACACAACACAAACACAATACAAATACATCAAAGACACACACACACACACACTCTCGGCGAACACACACACACACACACACACTGGCAGATTTTTATGATACAAGCCATAAAAACCGACAACAACAAAAGCAACAAGCATGTGAAATTTAAATTTCAAAAGCAAACATGCCGAAAATTTGGCAATAACTTTTTTTCTGATTTTTATTTGTTTTTTATTTTTATTTACTTATTTATTTATTTATTTTTTGTGTATTGTTTTGGCTCTGGCCGCGTATTTATTGTTGCTCATTTCTTATTTCTGGGTTGCCTTTTCGTTGAAAAAATCTGTATTTGAACATGTGCATGTATATATATGAATATATATAGTCTACAATATGGCCTCAACAAACTTTTATTTAATTTAGTTTTTGTTTTTTGTTTTTTGGCAAACTTGGAAGTTTTTTTTTTCGTGTTGGCATTTGTTCTCTTCACTAGAAAGAGTCTCGTACATTTGTCATCGAGCTTGTACTTATCTAATTTGGTTATTGTGCATAATCATCAAGAAAATCATGTAAATTTCTTAGAAACTTATTTCTAAAATTTATTTTCTGGCGATTTTCTAAAATTAAGATTTAATTTTGATAATTTGATGTATTGAATATAAATATATTAGGACGCATTATACAAATTTCAGTTTTGCCAAATAGAAGAGTATCATGAGAATTTTTATCTTTCTATCCTTGTTTATTTTAAGCATGTTTTCGAACCTGTTTACTAGCCATTGTATTATTTAATGATATTGTCGATGAGATTTACCGCCCAATAGGATCTACATACACTTTCTGAACTGAAAGTCTTAGGTTGATAAGCATTTAATTTTATGCTCGCTGTTTAATGTAGATTTTTGTAAAGATATACGGAGAACCAAACAATTCAATTTGAAACCGATTTTTCGTATATATACTTTATGATATTGTCATCTGATTCGATCTTATCTCCATTAGCGTTTTATAAATAGAGTTAAAAGGGTATTATGGCTTCGCTTTGAATGCAACAAGAGAATTCGACCGCCTGCACGACTGCAATCATTTAAATGCACTTTTAATTAGCCAGAGACTGCAATAAATGCATTTTAAGCAAAGCTACAACCGCACACACACACACACACACACACACACACACACACACACCCATACAAGCTAACGGTTTTTAGCCGTGCGTATTGCCATTGCACTCGCACATTTGCCTACACAATAAATGGGGCCAGAGTGTGGGATAGAATAGGTGAGCAGCAGTTCGGCTTTTTGACAATATTTTTCGTCGTGAATTTTCATTTGTTGTTGCAACTTTGTTGCTTATCGCGTTGACAAAATCAGGCAAATGAAAACTTTGGCAGTGCGAGCGTGTGCGCGCGAGTATGTGTGTCTTGTCTGCAGTTGAAAATATTCCCACACAACTCTTGACGCACTTAACGCAAATGTCACGCACAGTGGCAAAGTCACAAAAGGGATATCAAATAAATGCGGGCCCATTCAGCCAGGGATATCAAAGTCCATTTAAAGCCCAAAGCAATGCCAATGCAATTTGCGCTGCCGCTCGCCAGAGCCTTTGGGGGCTGATGCGAAGTGAAGGCTGGTCCGCTTCCTGGCTGCCAGGCTGGCAGGCTACCAGGTGTTGCACTTGGTCAGCCATAGTCTCATAAATTTCGCGCTGGCCCAAGTTGTGGTGCGCGCATAAAACAGAAATTTCCAAGAAATTACAACACGGCCAACACAAAAGCACAAAAGCCATAGACATAGACCAGGGCCCCAACAGGCTGCAGGCAGGCCAACACGGCACAGCAACAGCACCAGACACTCGGGCACGGCACCACAATAAATGTGTGTGTGTGTATGTGAATTGGTGTGTGTGTTTGGTTGTAATAGTTGTTGTAATTTACTGACTGCTACGTCGAGCTGACTGAGCCTGGGCATGGCCGAATCTCGGGCCGCAAATCTTAATCCCGGTGCGCAAGTTTTCAGCGAACTGGGCACTGGGAGCGTGGCGGCGGCCTATAAAAATGAGTTATGGTATTGCAATTGAACAGCTGGGCCACCGCTGCGTATGATTGATGTGACTTTAAATGCGCTTCGTCCAGCTTATGTGTGCGTGCGTGAGTGTGTCTGTGTGTGCATCTGTGACAATTTTCAAAGGTATTATAAACCTTGAGCTTGCTTATTGCAACTCTTGCTGCTGCAGTTGTTGCTGCAGTTGCCCTCTCAATTCGCTTTGATTAAAATGTCTTGAAATCATGCCACATTAATTATGACCCAAATTCTTGGAAGCATTCTTTGCATCGTATGATGCAGCGGCAAGCTGTTTGTTGTTGTGCCTGATTGCTATTGTAGCTGTTGCTGTTGTTGTTGTTGTTGCTACTGCTGCTGTTGCATATTGTTTATTGCATTCGACAGTGGCCGGTCATTCATATGGCGCACCGCCCGCGTTGCACATGTTGTTGCTGCTGCCGCTGCTGCTGCTGCTGGCGCGATGTTTTAATTAGTCGTGGCAACGGCAAACTGTCTTTGCTTAATTAAATGACATAATTATAAGAATGTGCCTGCCACAACAGGCCCCCAAAGCCCGACTTTGAA